CTACGGCCCGTCGCCGCCCTTCGCGGCCCCTCGCGCCGCCCTTCACGGCCCGTCGCCGCCCTCCGCGGCCCCCCCTCGCGCTACCCTTACGGCCCGTCCGCCGCCCTTCGCGGCCTCTCTCGGCCCGCCGTCGCCGCCTCTACAGCAGCAGCAGCCGCAGTCACTACAGCGGCCGCGGCCGCCGTCCCAGCAGCAGCAGCATCCGCCGCCCCTGCAGCAGCACCCGCCGCCACTGCAACCGCGGCCGCCGCCGTCCCTGCAGGAGCGGCCGCCGCCGCCCCTGCAGCAGCAACTGCCGCCGCCGCTGCAGCAGCGGCCGCCGCCGTCCTGTGAGCAGCAGCCGCCGCTGCCCCTGCAGCAGCCGAGCCGCCCGAGCCGCCGAACCACCCGAGCCGCCGAGCCGCCCGAGCCGCCGAGCCGCCGAACCGCCCGAGCCGCCGAGCCACCCGAGCCGCCGAGTCGCTGAGCTGCCGAGCTGCTGGTGCTGCCGAGCCGCCGAGCCGCCGAGCCGTCCGAGCCGCCCTGTCCTCTACACTCGGTCCGTCTCGCCTGCCCGGTAAGAGCAGCACCTCTACTACTGCGCTGCCCTTAGCCTACAGCTCGTGCTGCTAGTCTACTGCTGTCATGGCTACCCCCAGTGTCCTCGCTTTTGACGCTGAGGGTCGGGCCATTGACTTTGACGTCTGGGTAGATGACCTGCAGCTTTTCCTACAGTGCGATAGGGCAGACGGTCTCTCCCTCTTTGACCTCACTTCTGGTGCCTCTCCTGCCCCCGCTGCTGATGCTGACGCCACTGTTCGCTCACAGTGGGCCACACGCGATGCTGCTGCACGTCTTGCTGTGCGTCGCCACTTGCCTACCTCTGAGCGTGCGCACTTTAGCCAGTACAAGAGTGCTAAGACCTTGTACGACGCTGTAGTTGCACGCTACTCTTCCCCTGCCACTGCTGCACTTAGCCGCCTCATCCTGCCGTACCTCTTCCCTGACCTCGCAGCTTTTCCCACAGTCGCTGACCTCATTACGCACCTCCGCACTAGTGACATTCGCTACCGCGCTGCCCTTCCCGCTGAGTTCTGCGCCAAGAACCCCCCCCCTATGTACATCACCCTCTACTACATAGTCACCCGCCTCCCTGACACCCTTCGCCCGGTCAGGGACCACTTTCTCTCTGTTTGCCCCACCACCCTCACCGTTGACCTCCTCGAGGAGCGCCTCCTAGTAGCAGAGAAGAGCATAGTCGCTGTAGGAGCCTCTCGTGGTGACCCGCGCGCCCCTGTCTTTGAGGGGTGCTCCCCCTCTCCTCTCTTGCCCTCTGTTGCCTCTGCTGCTGCGGCCGACCTCGTTGGTCTTGAGTCGGTCGGTGCGGCGTCTACCCCTAGCGGGAAACGCCGCCCTGGCAAGGGCAAGGGGGGCAAGGGCGCTGGAGGAGCTAGCGGGGGCGGTGGAGGCGGCGGTGGAGGCGGCGGAGGGGGTGGGGGTGGCGGTGGGGGTGGAGGCGGGGGTGGAGGTGTCGGTGGCGGCAGTGGAGGCGGAGGCGGAGGCGGCGGTGGCGGTGGGAGCGGAGGTGGCGGAGGTGGCGGCGGTGGAGGAGGCGGCGGCGGAGGAGGTGGAGCTGGTCGGGGTGGCGCTGCGCAGAGGGTTGGCTCCGGTGGTGGTCAGCGCCAGCAGCAGCAGCAGCGCACTCGGGACATCCCCCCCCCTCAGCAGCTCCATGAGTGGTACGCTGCACGCCAGCGGGGTGGGGGTACTGGTCCGTGCACCTACGTCCTACGCACCGGCGACCGCGCGGGTGAGCAGTGCGGGGGTGCGCACTCCACCCAGCGCTGCTTTGGCCGCCTGACGGACGCTTGGCGTCACCAGTTCCCTGAGGCCACTGAGATCCCTCGCTGGGGCGAGCTGTCTAGGGCGGGAGTAGCTATCTTTGACCTTGACTTTGATGCTATTCTTGCTGCCATGTATGCTGTGACTATTAGTGATGAGGGTGACTGTTACCGGTGTTTTCCGCCCGACCCGGGCATTGAGACTGCTGCTCTAGGTACTGGTGAGGCTGCTGCTCTAGGTGCTAGCGAGGCTGCTGCTCTAGGTGCTAGTGCGTCTGCTTCCTCAGGTGCTGGTGAGTCTGCTCTCTCAGGTACTGAGTCGGCTTCGGCCTCCCACACCTTCACCCTTGACTCGGGGGCTTCTCGCTCCTTCTTTCGAAACCGCACCACACTCACGCCGCTTGGTCGGCCAGTTGCAGTCTCTCTGGCAGACCCCTCTGGGGGTCCTGTCCTTGCTCACTTCTCCACTGTCCTCCCGTGTCCGGCGGCCCCCTCTGGCACCCTGTCGGGTCTTTACCTCCCCTCGTTCTCTACAAACTTGGTGAGTGGTGCTGACCTACAGGATGCGGGGGTTCACCAGTTCACTCCTGCGAGCCAGCGGGTGACCCACTGCACGGACGCTCGGACAGGCCGACACCTGGCCACGTTTACACGTCGGCCGGGGTCGAGCCTGTACACACTGACCACTGCGTCTCCTCCAGTCACTGCGTCTGGTCAGGTAGCTGCGTCGGGTCAGGTGTTTGCTGCGGCGTCCAGGTCTGGTCCTGAGTCTGCCCCCTGCTCGTGTCGCCTCCTGTCTCACGAGACTCTCCTCTGGCGCCACCGCCTTGGTCACCCCTCCCTGCTTCGTCTCCGAGGCATGGCCTCCCGTGTCCTTGTCTCTGGTCTTCCCCGGTCCCTCCCTCCCCTTCCTCCGGGGCCTGCCCCTACCTGCGTCCCCTGTGTCGAGGGGCGGCAGCGGGCTGCCCCTCACTCCTCCCAGTTTCCTCCGACAGCGGCCCCGCTGCAGACGCTTCACATGGACGTGTGGGGCCCGGCCCGCGTCCGTGGACAGGGTCACGAGCGCTACTTCCTGCTGGTGGTTGACGACTACTCGCGTTACACCACAGTCTTCCCCTTGCGCAGCAAGGGTGATGTCACTGAGGTGTTGATCGACTCGATCCGCGCAGCTCGTCTCCAGCTCAGGCAGAGCTTCGGCTCGGACTTTCCTGTTTTGCGTCTGCACTCTGACAGAGGCGGAGAGTTCTCCTCTGGCCTTCTGCGAGCCTACTGTCGTGCACGAGGCATCCGCCAGACCTTCACGCTTCCGGACTCTCCACAGCAAAATGGGATTGCTGAGCGCCGCATTGGCATGGTCATGGACGTCGCCCGTACATCCATGATGCATGCGGCTGCCCCCCATTTTCTGTGGCCGTTTGCGGTTCGGTACGTGGCGCATCAGATCAACCTTCAGCCCAGGGTCTCCATGCCGGAGACCTCCCCAGCTTTGCTGTGGACGGGGAAGGTTGGCGATGCGTCTGCGTTCCGTGTCTGGGGATCTCGGGCGTTTGTCCGCGACTTGTCTGCGGACAAGCTGTCCCCTCGTGCTGCTCCTTGCGTCTTCCTTGGCTTCCCCCCTGACGCGCCAAGGTGACAGTTACAGTTACAGCCGGCCTCCCCACTGCCTGCTCCTTCTCCCTACACTGGTCCTACTGGAGGTCTTGCTGAGCGTCGTGAGCCTGCGTCTCGCCCTGCGTCGCCTGTCCGTGCTGCTCGCACTAGTGGTCGTGGTTCGCGTCAGCGTCCTCCTCCTGTCCCTGGCACACACCGGATGTCTCTGCGTCCGTCCACTGCTCCTCTGTGTGCCCCTTTGCCTTCTCCTCCTGAGTCCTCTCTTCCTGCTCTTCCCGACCCGGAGTCAGACTCTCTTCGTGCTGCCAGTCCTACTGTCACGCGTCTCCTTGCTACTGTTGTCACTGACCCTTCCTTTGAGTCCACTGCTGCGTCTGCCCTAGTTACTGAGCTCGTCGACTTTGCTGCTCGCTGTCGTCTAGACTACGCTGCTAGTCTTGTTGCTGAGTCTGAGTCTGTCTGTCCTCCGTCCGTCGGGCGTGAGTGTGCCCTTGGCACGGACGTCCTTGAGGACAGGCAGGAGGAGTTCCAGTGTTTGGCTGCTGCTTCACCTCATCTCGTGTCCGTACTGCTTACCCCTGAGGGAGACCCGGATGCACTTGACATCCCGACTCCGCGCTCTTACGCGGAGGCGATAGAGGGTCCCTACTCCTCTCAGTGGCAGGCAGCTATGGACGTAGAGATGGCTTCCTGGAAGTCCACAGGCACCTACGTTGACGAGGTTCCCCCACCTGGGGCGAACATCGTCAGTGGCATGTGGATTTTCAGGGTGAAGCGGCCGCCGGGTTCTCCGCCTGTCTTCAAGGCGCGTTACGTGGCTCGTGGCTTCAGTCAGCGGCAGGGAGTTGACTACTTTCAGACCTTCTCTCCCACCCCGAAGATGACCACTCTTTGGGTACTGCTGCACATAGCTGCTCACCGTGACTACGAGCTGCACTCTCTTGACTTCAGCACTGCTTTCTTGCAGGGCAGCCTGCACGAGGAGATCTGGCTGCGTCGCCCACCTGGCTTCACTGGGTCTTTTCCTCCTGGCACCCAGTGGAGCCTCCGGCGGCCAGTCTACGGTCTCCGCCAGGCACCGCGTGAGTGGCACGACACACTGAGGACTACACTTGCGGCTCTTGGGTTTGCTCCCTCTACTGCCGACCCGTCGCTGTTTCTGCGCACCGACACTTCTTTGCCGCCGTGTTGCCAGCTCCTTTGTGAAGGCCCCAAAAGCCTCGTAGCAAGCCTCTTTCGGCCCAACTATCGTTATGTCGTTAGCGTAGGCTACTGTCGCGACTTCTGGTAAGAAGGTCGCCGTGCTTAGCAGGCATGGTTGAATCGCGGCCGCGAAGAGTAGTGGACCGAGCGGGTCCCCTTGACGCACCCCGCGTGACGAGAGGATGTGATTCACCCCTAAACGCTCGCCCACCAAGAGGGCCGACGGTGTACCATAGAGAGTTCGGACCAGGGGCATGAGCTGCAGCAAACTGGACTGGGAGAGAGCATTGAAGAAAGCCGCCCGTTCGACACTGTTGAAGGCGTTTTCTATGTCCAGCTGTAGCGCTACTCGTGTGTCGTCGTCCCTTAGTAGCGATCTGACGGAGTGGATGATACACTCTGCGCCTCCCGGTATCGCTACCCCAAACTGGACTGGTAGGAAAAACTCCTTGATGTTCTCAGTTAAGCCACGCAATGCTGCCTTAGCTACGACTCGAAGAATAGCCTCCCCTATCGCAATAGGGCGGACGCCTCCTCCTGGCTTTTCTAGGGTGATCAACCGTGAAGGCAGCAGCAAATCGCGGGTCGCTTGTGTCTGGAACGTGCTCAGCAGGTACGTCACTACCTTAGCGAGTAGAATAAGCACCTCCCCGTTTGCCAGTGCCGGATCCTTGAGGTGTTCGAAGCAGGTGCCAGATGGGCCTGCTCCAACCCCGTTCGGGCATTTCTTCAGGATTTCGCGAAGCTCGTCCGCTGACACGCTGAGGGTCGAGCGGTTGAACCCTGTAACCAGACCCGGTAGCGAAGTTTCGGCTGCGGGGTGTTTCGCTTGGAGGGCAGTCAACGTTGCTGCTGTCGCTTCTGCGAGCGGTGTAGTTCGTAACGCTGCTACCGCCTTGGAAATGTTTCCTTTCCGTATCAACCCCTCCGCCCTTGCGCATAAACCTGCGTCATCCGGTTGGTGTCGTATCGGGCTCTCATTGTCGGGGATGACACATGCGTCGGTGTAGAGGGCCTGCCAGCTGCCGAGTTGGAACTGGTGCAGGCGCAGCTCTATTGCTGTCCACCGACTGCCTTCGACAGGTTCAGGGGCCGGACGTAGCGTCAGCCTCGGAAAATACTGCAGGATCGCCCATGCACCTGGGCAGTCAGGATTATTCGAGAGTCGAATGAGTGGTGCCAGGAGACAGAGCGTGTAGCTTTCCAGGATCTTGGGCGGCATTCTGCGGACCACGAAGGGTTGATCCCCTTTTTGGAGTGGGTATTTGTCCCACGTGGCTGCCAGCTCCCAGATGGCAGAATCGTCCGCCAGGTCAGACGGTGATTTGACCCCAGAGTCACTCTGTCCCTCATTGGGTGCGTCCCCATTTTCTCCCACCACCTGAGGGTTTCCCCTTACTCCTGGCACCTCCTCGTTCCCAATTCCCGTACCCTGAGGGTTATCGCCCTGGTGGTTTACCCCATTGTTATGGGTTCTCCTTCGCTCCCCAGCCTTTCTCGTCATGTGCACCTCCTCCTCGTCCTCCAACGAGATTTCCTCAGATGGCTCCGCCGATTCAGCTACATAATCGCCCCCCTCATCGGTGTTGACATCATCTTCTTCGTTGTGATTCATTGCAGGCTCCGCTTGCTCCGGTCGCTCGTGGCGTTCCCGCAACGTTCCCGTTCTCACGAGCGAGACCCTTCCGCCGACAATTGGGCCTCTTCCGCCCCATCCCCCTCTGGCCCCTCGCCCTCCTCCCCTCGTTCCGCGAGCCGTTTCTCCCCCCCTGGGGCCGGCGTTCTGCTCGCCTCGGCCTGCCTGTTGCGGTCTTCCCGCCGGGATCCACGGTGCCAGCATCGGCGTTGCCTGGCCAACCCTTGGCTGGCCCCAGGTAATGCCTTGCGCCCTCGTAACACTGCGTGTTTCACGCCGTGGGGTCTGTTGAGCCGTGACGGCAGCCGTGGTTGTTCTCTCTTCTCCCCCGGTCGAGCTCCGCGAATCCCGACGCGGTGGTTGTTGCGTTGATGGTCCCGCCACTGCGTTCCCTGCCGTGATGATCGGTGTGGGTGCTAGCCTGATCCTGTCTCCTGCCTCCCTTCTCCCGTCGCTTGTCCCCACAGATGGCAATTGACGCTCTTGCCCTCGTGGCAACTGCCCTTGCAGAAGCCAGCCCAGGAGGGGTCCCGGGGGACCAAGTCCCAGCCCTGCTCCGGGCCGCCTCGGTGCTGGCTGGGCTCGAAGCTTCATCTTCCCGCGGGCGGCGCCAGCAATCCCGCCGGCTCCGTGACCCCGTCTACCGCTCCCCCCCAGGCCGTGCCCCTGCGTGCTTGCGCCCTCAGCAGCAGCAGAAGTTCCGGCGCTCGCAGCGGCAATCGGCGCACCCTCCTCGGTCCGGGCTCCGTCTTGTTCCCCTGCCGCCGCTGTCACCGCCGCGGCCAGCACAGACGCCGTTACAGGCTCCGGTGACGCCGCCAGCTCCACCACCTCGGTCCGTTCCTGAGCCACTGGTGGTCCCGGCTCCTCTGGTTGCCACGCCTGGGGGATGGCAGAGGGTGAGGCTGAGCCGCCGCCAGAGGCAGCGTCAGGCCCGCCAAGCTCAGCAGCAACCACCATCTTAGTCGCCTCAGCAGCAACCCCCTCCAGCCCCGCAGCAACCGCAGCCTCAACCGCCACAGCCGCCTCTGACTCAGTCCCCATTGCGCCACTTCCCACTGCCGTCGCGGCCACAGCCGCCTCGCCCTCCACCGTCTCCTGTTCCCCCGCCGCCTCCCCAGGTGCTGCTATTCCCTCCCGTCCCACCAGCTCCTCACGTTGCTGCTCGTGTGGCTGCGACTCCTCTCCACGTCGAGCAGCGCGTAATGCACGTGGGGACGTGTTTGACGCTGCTGTCCTACGTATTGGACCAGCTCCACGTGTGTCTGGCGCGGCAGGGTGTGGAGGTTGGGGGGATGATGCCATCGGAGCAGTCGGCGGCGGTGTCCGCAGCAACGGAGATGCTACATTATCTCCCCCTGATCGGGCTTGTCCAGGGTGCCCCTGGTGCTGCGCTCGGGCCCGGCCCTGGGGCAATGTTGCGGCTTGCTGAGTCTGCTCAGGGGGCCCCTCTTGGCCTTGTATCAGCAGCCGCATCCGTCCTGCGCTGGATGGACGGGAGGCTGTGCTGGATACTCGCCGAGTAGCCGGTTTGTCCCCTTTGCCAGCCCCCTTGGTAGCAGGCTTGGCCTTGGGCTTCCCCATGGCGGTGTAGGTACGCCAGGGGGTGTTGCTTTTGCTGTAGGACTCTACCACTGCATGTTGTATCAAATGCTCTTATGATTCTTGTCACCAGAGACCCTTGCCACACCTCAGAGTGAACTAGACTCACCAGTGAAGAATGAGCCTCATGGGCCAAGGACTAGAGACTTTATACTAGGGAAACAGTGCTGTAAACGGCTAAGGACTATGGACTATGCTAGAGAGGCAGAAAACGGCTAAGGACTAGCCCCAAGCCATCTCTCTCTCTCTCTCGCTCTCTCTCGAACGAGCCGCTGGTTTTGGAGAGTGAACTAGACTCACCAGTGAAGAATGAGCCTCATGGGCCAAGGACTAGAGACTTTATACTAGGGAAACAGTGCTGTAAACGGCTAAGGACTATGGACTATGCTAGAGAGGCAGAAAACGGCTAAGGACTAGCCCCTCTCTCTCTCTCTCTCTCTCTCAAGCAGTCCTGTATTGATAATGGTCATAGGATACAAGCATGGCATGAGTAGTTTGGCATACATGCTGCCCTAGAAGCATAGGCAATCCTGGCATGCATTGCTCGTACTATTCCTATATTCCTTGGTACATGGCTGCCTAGGCATGCAAGCACCTATCACTAGGCCCCCATGGTGGCTCAGGCGGCCTTGGTCCTGCCCCGGCTCCTTCTCTCCAGCCTTCTAGACTCCCAGGTCCCACACTTCCTCCACCTCATCTTCCAAGACCTGCCATATGTCCCCCAGGCCTGGCTCCCAAGGGTCAGCCCAGGCCTGGGGGTATGCTGCCTCCGCCGCCCTGTTGGACTTTGCCAGCATGGCGTTGGCTTGGCAGCGCTGCAGCATTACCGACCAGCGTTGTCGGTAGTGCGCAGTCAGCCTGGAGGCCACCGTGGTGAGCCTCCCTTGGCGGTGCTTCTTCTTGGCCGCACTCGTGCCTAAAATGCGGAAGAATTTCTGTGTGTCTCTCGCTAGTCCCCCGTAGGTTTCCACGGCCAGGCCCAGGACCCCCGCGAACTCGGGGCGCTCCTCATACAGCCCCCTTTTCGTCCTGGCAGCGTCCTCTGCTGCCCACCCTGGCGCCTTTCTCCCTTGGGTGTCCTGCCTCTGCAGCACTGGGTCGGTCACCGTCACGTCTGTGAGGTAGGTTTCACCCGACTCCCTGTCACGGAAGACCAGGTCCGCCCGTTTAGGGTTGACTGGGGGCGAAAATCCTGTCGTCTCGTGCAAGGTAGTGAAATCCGCCTCACGTGCCATGCGTAGTGCCGCGTACACCAGCGCGTTGTGGGTGTTGGTGCGGTCCCCCCCATCCGCGCATCTCAGCAGGTGATTCGGCAGGCTGCTGTCTGCTATCTTGGAGTGCCTGCCGCGGCAGGGGCAGTTTTCTGTGACTGGAAGGGAAAGGCCGAGCCTGAAGCCTAGGGCTATGGCGAATTGCCCGGGAGAGAAGGTGAGGTCCGCTCGCGTGGGTATGGCATGCAGCCAGTCTCCTGCCCCCGGCGCCTGCAAGGCTATGAGCCGCACCACGTGCCCGTTATCCCCGCCCGGCTTGTCTACCCGGGTGTCCCCTATCAGCTCCGCTGCCCTGTCCAAGTTGACCTCGCGGGATAGCCCCAACTGCAGCCGCCCTTTCCCCCCCTTCTGACGGTGGTGCTCATGTAGGAGTTCCAGTGCCCTTCCTGGTAGCTTGCTTTTGAGGTCCTGCAGGGTCTCCCCTCCCCGTGCCGACACCTCGATGCGTTCTGTAGATACCAGGTCTGCAGCCCGCCGCAGGGGGTGGTCTGGGTGCTCAGGGAGGCCACTCAGTAGGGTGTGGGCCGCGCTTAGGGATGCCAGGTAGGCTGCGGGTGCTTCCGAGACCGGATCTATGAGGCCCAGCCCGCCGAGGCATACTGGAAGGGTCGCCTGCCTCCACACCAGGCTCTGTTCGATCTCCTTCCTCGGCACGTGCAGGTGTGCCGCTTTGAGCGCTGTCCACACCACTCCTTTGCTCCACTCCCGCCACTCTTCTAAGGGCAGCATGTCTGCCGGTGTTGTCCGAAGCAGATATGAGATACGCCTGGATACGCAGCGTGACAGCAACAGTAGGGCGTGCTGCGGGTGGATGCTGCTGATAAGGTCTAGGGGGGCCGCCACCGTGTCTAGGGAAGCTGTGATCATGCGCCTCCCGTATTCCCTTGTTCCTATGGGGCTCCCCAGGACGCGTATGCCGTCTACTGCTGGTACCAGGCCGTCAGGGAGGTCGTCCGGTATGCCTGATGAGCTCCAAGCAGATGATTTCGCGAGGTTGCATTTGAGGCTGCGGCCGGCGAGTTGCCTGGTGATGATCCCCAAGGTGAGTGCCGCTTCCTGCGCCGTCCCTACGATTGTAATGTCATCCGCGTAGGCCATGACCGTGACCGACGGGAAGATGTCAGACGCCACCTGAAGCGCCGGTTGAATAGCTGCCGCGAAAAGCATGGGGCCTAATGGGTCTCCTTGACGGACCCCGCGCGCGCTCTCGATGTGTGGTGCCGCGAAGCCGTGATCCAGTAGTAGGCAGGAGGGTGTGCCGTACAGCGTACGCACTAGTGGTATGACGCGGCTGAGTCCAGAGAAATGCAGTGATTCGAAAAAACCGGCGCGTTCAACCGAGTTAAAGGCGTTTTCGATATCTAACTGCAGCGCCACTCGCTTCGGATCCTCAGCTAAGAGCGCGCGCACCGTGTGAATAATACATTCGGCGCCTCCAGGTACTGCCACTCCAAATTGTACCGGGAGGAAGTATTCTCGGATGGGCGTGCTTAGTTCCCTAAGCGCTGCCTTAGCTGTGAGTCGAAGTATCGCTTCTCCTATGGCTATGGGTCTGACACCTCCGTCCGGTTTCTCCAGGGCTACTAGTCTAGATGGTAGCAAAAGCTCCGTCAGTTCCGCTGGCAGGTGGGTGCTAAGGACGTGGTTGACGACGCCATGCAGGTAAGAGAATACTTCATTGTTGGTGAGCGCGAGGTCTCGAAGGTGCTCGAAACAGGTGCCTGAGGGTCCCGCTCCAATTCCGTTGGGGCATTTCGCCAGTACTTCGCGAAAGGTCTCTGCTGACGTTGCGAGGTTGCTGGAGGCGAATCGTGTTACCCAGTTCGGGATTTCGCTCCCTGCCCCTGGGTGCTTTGCTTTTAATGCTTCCAGGGTCGCATTTGATGGTTCTGCGAGTGGCGAAGTTTGTAACGCTGCTGCTGCTTTTGCCAGATTCGCCTTGCGCACGAGCCCCTCCGCCCTCGCGCAGATGCCCTCTGGGTCCGGCTGGTGACGACTCGGTTGGGAGTTCTGGGGTATGGTGCAGGCCTGGGAGTACAGTATGTCCCACTTTTCCAACTTGAACTGGTCCAGCCTTGTCGCCACCTCGCTCCACCTGTTTCCAGGTGCGTTCCCAATGTTAGCTCTCAGTGTGAGTCGGGGCAGGAATAGCAACATTCGCCAGGCTCCTTGGCAGGTCGGGTTCTTGGAAAGCCGCAGCAGGGGAATCGTGAGGCAGTAGCTGTAGATTCCGAGAATGTTGGGGGTGATGGAGAGAGAGAGAGAGAGAGAGAGAGAGAGAGAGAGAGAGAGAGAGAGAGAGAGAGAGAGAGAGAGAGAGAGAGAGAGAGAGCAAGGGCGGGGTGCAGGGGTTCTCTCTCATCCTTATCTCCAGTCAGCAAGGCACACTTCCATTTTCACCCAATACAAATCCTTCAATCCTCCACCTCATCTCTTCTCCAATCCTCCTCAACTTTCTCATCCCAAACTCCACCAATCAATCAAAATATTCCCTACCAAGCCTTAAATCAAAGCCCCATTCATTCTCTCTCTCTCTCTCCCCCTCTCCCTCTCTCCCCCTCTCTCTTCCTCTCCATCTCTCCCTCCCTCGCTCTCGCTCTCCTTTTCCCTCTCACTCTCGTTCTCGTTCCCACGTCTGGTCTTCCCTGTCCCACTCTGTGTTAGAGTTCAAATATCTGCGCTCTTTGGATATCTATCTTTCTCTCAACAGGGATGTCCAAAATTGGGTGGCCAAGTCATTTGCGTACCTTTTGTGGGACTCTTGAACGCCAATTGGAGTTTCTGGCTAGGAAGGTTTGGATTGTGAGCTTTGAGAAGACAGTGAAGACCAATATCAAAGGTGCATAGAATTGTAGTACGACAGGAAAGGCTCACATACATTGGATGTCCAGTACTTGATGTTCTTCGCTAGGAGTTTTCAGCTTCCTTCCCTCCCCCCTTCCTTCCCTTTCATTCCATCCTAGTCCTATTATTAGAGTGGCTGAACTAGATCTACTCTCCTATCACAATCTTGGTGGGCTGCTCTTTTAGTGTACTTGTTAGTCTGAATTTACTTAAAAGTTGGTGGGCATAACTCTAAAGTCTTCGTGATTGCTCGAATGCTTGATGTTTGCTATGAATGATAAAGCAGAGTGCACGGAAGAATACATATTAAAATGTAATTCCAATTACCACTTCAAAATTCACACCGTAAGCAACAACACGCTTACTTAAAGCTTGATTACAGCATGGATATTTCAAGTTCAAGATTCTTGAACTTGAAGTCGCCAAAAACAGGGTTACCCGCCTTCTTTTGTGTTACGAATAATGAAATGAGAAAGGCACTGTGCACTCCCAACCGCAGAAAGAGAAGCACACAATATCGAGGCTGAATGCGAAGAGGCAGAATGACGCGAAGAGTCGCGTACGGTTACGTAGCATCTGGACAGTCAGGGCCGACAACATAAAAGCAGCAGCAGAGGCGAGGATTCTATCCGAACAGTTTCGTAACCGTCTGGAGCCGCACAATTGGATTTCGCTGTAATACCGTAATACCCCGGATATAAGACCCTCCCCAGTTGTAGACCCCCGGGTCTATAATACGGAGGGGGGTACGCTATTTAGGTCGTTTTTTGTTATACCCCCCTAAATGGGGGCTAACATTATCCCCCCCCCCCCCCCCCCCCCTTCCCTTGAGAAGGGGTCATTTTATAGCAAAGGAATGAATTTCCGACAGTTTTCCTACGGCTTTTCACAAAGATGCCATAAATTGTAAATTAAGGAGGGATAACAATCAGTCATGTCAGCACAAACAAATCTAACCTTACTCATCATCCTGTCTAGCTACCCATTCCTCTACCTCCTCCCCGTCATATCGCCCTTCTGCCCACCACTCGTCATCGTCGTCCCATCCCTGTCCAACTCCCACTCATCAGCTGCCTCACCCTCCTCCTCCTCATCGTCGGACTCATCCTCAGCGTCCTCGGAGGAGTCCTCATCCTCCTTGAAGTCCTCCTCCTCGTAGTCGCTATCCTCCTCGGAGTCCTCCTCCGCCCCCCCCCACCCCTCCTAGCTTCCGCCACCAGGACGGCATCGCCGTCCTTGTCAGCAACGGCAGCAGGGTCAGGGTAGAAGGGGTTGGGACGAGCTCCTCCAGCTCCTCCTCGCACACATCCTCCAGCACCTCCACCTCCGCTGCGTCGTGTAGGTGAGCGTGGATCAGATGATCCTCGCTCCCGTCAACGGCGGTGGAGATGCCGAAGATGAGGAAATCTTTCCTCACCAATTCCTCTGGAACGTCAGCCCAGGACTCGTCAATCCATCGGAGCACCTTATCCGCCAGTGGTTTTTTCAAATTACCTGCGGAGGCACGGGGATGGGCAGTTTTCAGTCAGCGTAGGAAGAATTCAAGCAGTAAACTAGGTGCAAACCGTATTCAAGCACTAACCTCACCTGCCGGGGTGGTGTATCCAATCCCCTCGTCCTCAAACTAGGTGGGTTAGCGGTGGCGCATCCCAGCTTTGAAGCTGCGGTTCACCGAAACGTCCAGCGGCTGCAGCAGTGAGGTGCAACCGCCAAGGATCACCATGCGCGTGAGCTAAACAGCTTCATCGTTTGTCTGACCCCTTTCGTGATGTGGCTGCGGTACGAGTCGAGGACGAAGAGCGCATCCTTGCGCCGTCCTTCCTCCTCGCGCAACGGCTTCAGGAATGACACGAGATCTTGCGTTGTCCAGTCTTGGACAAGCTTTTCGTCCATCTAGCCCTTGTCCTGGGTTCGGATGACGACACCTGCACGGATGCAAAAGAAACATTAGAGGTGGTTTTTTTTTTAACCAACAACCACAAAGCACCCACTCAAGCATCTCACCTCGAGGCACAGGAATCTTTGGCAGTGTCTTCCATTTGAAGACAACGTACGGAGGGAGCTTCAAGCCGCTCGCCGTCACCGCCAGCATGACGGTGAGGCGTTCCTTCTCGTAGCCTGCGGTGCGCACGTGCACGGTACGCGCGCCTTTCATCTCGAGGGTATGCTCGGCAGGCATCTCGAGGAACAGCGGCATTTGATCCGTGTTCACGATGGGATTGAGGGGGTAGGAGTTGAGCACGCGCATTTGCCGCACGAATTCCCAGAACGATTCGCACTTCTTCGCGCAGTCTACAGCACAACGAACGAAGTACACGTCAGTGGATGCAATTCTCCACTAGAGAGCGATCGGGATGCGTGAAAACCCTTACCTGCAGCAAGCTTTTGGCCGACCTTCGTCTTCACACGCCTCGCCAAGGACCAGCTTGCGGAACCGCTTTGTCCAGCACTTGGACGTGCGCCACTTCTCTCCAGGGTGACGATTCTTCATGAAGCACGTCGCCCACTTTTGTAACATGCTGATGGAGACCGAAAGGCCTTTTCCGCGATTAGAAAGGAACTTGCGCTAGACCGCTCGTTCCATCACAGGCCACTTCGGCTTTCGTCCAGCACCACCAAGGGGTTGGCGACACCCAGCCACGACACCCAGGCGCTATTTGAAGCTGCGCCATTCACGAATTCGCTTCGGCTGCACATTCGCAAGCCTCGCCAACTTCCGGACGCTTAAATCGGGCTGCGCGCCTAGCATCACCAGCCAGTACAGCTTCTCCTTAACGGTGAAGGCGCGCGGCGCCTTCTTTGTTATGCGGCGTCGAGGTGACGGGGGGTCTGCATCAGGTACCCGCCTCTTCTGACTCTGGGGTCTCCTGGCTTGCGGAAATGTTGGAACCCTAACCTGCGGCAACGGACGGGGAGGGCTATCGCTGCGCTCACACTCTCACCTAAGATGCAGTAGGCGTTGGTAGGACGGGCCTAGGAGATGGCCTAGGAACAGGAGCATCGCGTACAACACGGCGGCGATGGCGCCGTTTGGCTGACGTCCCAGTATCAGGAGACGTAACCATGGTGTGAGAGTACGGCAGCTTATGCCAGCTATGCTTGCTTGCCTTTACTTTATTATGCTATTTCTAGCATAGGATTTATTTATGCATGCATAAATTGCTTGATTTCCTAGGCTAGGTGCTTTCCTATATTTTATTATAGTTATAGCACCGAGCTAGGTTGCGTGCACCGAATTCTGGGCTTTTCGGTTGCCACCGAACTGCCTTCTACCGAATTCGGGAAGGGTCTGTTCAGGTCGCTTTGCGACCCTCGGAACCTTCGCGTAACACCTGGTCACTGGGCCTTGTGTCGAGCCTATATATAGCCTCGTGTTGTACGCAGGTGATCATTCAATTCAAACTCTCTTTTCTGAGCTCAATCCTAGATCCTCACACTTGGTCTTCTCGGAAGGTTCCCCAATTTTCTCCAACGTCCCGCGGTCACACACCGAGTGAGATGCACTGCTGTCCACCAGTGCCTGCATCGTCCTTTGCATAACACCTCGAGGATTAGTGGTTTCTGCTGCGCTGAGTAGCCAAAGAGGGTCTCATTCATTGGATCATAGGGTACATCAAAAATATTACAAACCCTATTTCCTATACCTGACTCAGCACTTTCCAATTTCACCGGGGGGGTAGGAGGATTTTTCCAAGGCTTGTACAACTTCTCATGAGCCTGGAATTTTCCTCTTAGCCTTTGCAGCTGTGTAGGCTTCACCTATGGGCAACGGGGAGCCTTAACACTGGGCTGCGGGGAGAGAATATTAACTCCACGGAACGCACGACCCTTTTCTACGCTCCGTAGTACTTTGCCCAACTTCTCAGGTACCTGAATAATCTCGAAAGGCTTTTTCTTGGCCTGTAAATCTCCCCTGAATTTTTCAAAGGCTTGAAAACCACGAGAAGCAATATTCTTCATCAGAGTATCTTTATAGGATACTTTTAACGAATTCTTGCTTTCGTGGGTGTTCGGTCGGTGCAGAGTCGTTCTTCGCGGAGCCTCCATTTGCCTCGGCAATTTCCCCGGATGCCGGCCGGTCGTGACGTTTTATATTTGCGCCATCATTTTCTCCTTTTTTCACCCGCTCCGAAGTCGCCACGTCGTCGCCCTTTTCTGCTTTTCGGATCTTTACGCGATCGCCAGGTCGATCCGCACCTATTGGCGATTCCCGTTTTTTTACTTCGGGGGTGCTCCACTGTTGCCGCCCAGCAGTGCCGCACGTGCCTTCTTTATTTTGTTGCACGACAAAAATTGATGCCCCGCTGCGCCGCAAAATTCGCATTTTGCCGGTTGCTGCTTCGTGTCAAATTTGTCGATATCCATCGGTTCGGCGAACGTGGGGGGTGCCGATCACTCCGTGCCGAATGTACAGTTCGGCTTGTAACGTCGTGTTTCGGGTTGACCACGAGTCAAAGCGTCGTATCGTTCGGCAGCACGCACGATGTCGCGGTAATTATTGTAGTTCGTTGCGATGACCTGTCGACGAATCTCCAATTTTAACCCTTTCGTGTACGCCTGGATTTTTTCCCCTCGGTCAGGTCAGTAATGCGGTTGAACAGTAGCTCCATCTGCTGCGTGTACTGTGCTACACTCCCGTATTGCTTGTGTCGGTGTAGCTGCTGCCGCGCCATGTAGGCTGTATCAATTGGCTCGAAACGTTCGATGAGGTCTGCCCAAAATTGCGCCCACGTTTTCTCCCCGCGGGCCACGTCAGTGTAATAAATCCACTCGTGTGCTGGTCCCCGCAACAGTGTCACTGCGAGCCGAATTCGTGCTCGTCGTGTGTCGGGGTCGAACAACCAATGGCCTCGAAATAAATTTCGAGGGTTGCCACGAATCGTCGAACGTGAGATCCTTTCGCGTTGGGATCGAACGCTTCAGGGAGCCTCGGGCGAGCTGCTTCGAGGTTCGGCGAAGGTGGTGCCATCCGTCCGTGAAATGTCGGTGTCGCTGCCGCTGCTGCTGCTCTCGCTGCTACGTTCGCTGCTGCATTGACTGCTGCGGTGGTGGCTGCGGATTGGTTTGTCAGAAGGGCCTCGATTCGCCAGATCGCCGCCTGCGTATGTTCCACGTCGGTGCGAAGGTTGGCGATGTCGCTCGTCGTCGCGTAATTGTCGCCTTGACCTTCCATGCCTGACATTGCGTGTTCGAAAACCGAAATCGAGGGGGAGTGAAAAACACGGAACCGGTTTTACGTACCCGAAATCGGTGTTTAACAGTCGTCGCCCCCGCGGTTTTTGAAGACTCGGTTTTAGCGGTCGAAAAAAAATCGCGTGCCCTTGTGTTATTTTTGTACTTGCACTAGGGTTAGGTTTTGCATATATCTTGTTTGTACTTTCTGTTTTAGTTAACTTTTACATTGTGACATTACGTCGCACTTCAGTCAGCGACAGGGTGTCGACTTCTTCCAAACCTTCTCCCCCAACCCAAAGATGACGAGTCTTCGGGTATTACTGCACGTTGCAGCACAGCGTGACTACGAGCTGCACTCGCTTGACTTCTCAACAACTTGCTTGCAGGGTAGTCTCCACAAAGAGATCTGGCTGTGCCGCCCACCTGGCTTCACTGGGTCACTCCCAAAGGGCACCCAGTGGAGTCTCCGGCGGCAAGTGTACAGTCTCCGTCAAGTGCCCCACGAGTGGCACGACACGCTGAGGACGACACTTGCGGCTCTTGGCTTCACTCCTTTGTCGGCTGACCCGTCCCTGTTTCTGCGTACTGACCCTACTTTGCCGCCGTTCTACATCCTCGTGTACGTCGACGACTTGGCTTTGCCACTGCTAACAGTGAGGCACTGGCCCTTGTGAAGGCCGAGCTGCAGAAGAGACACATCTGCACTGATCTGGGTGAACTCCACAGCTATCTTGGCTTGCAGATCGAGCAAAATAGAGCAGCGCGCACCATCATTCTGACCCAGTCATACATGGTGCAGTAGGTCCTTTTGCGCTTCGGCTTTCAATTATCCTCGGTACAGCCCACTCCTTTGCCTACGGACCACACGGTCTTAGCTCCACCTTCCGACGCATCCGTAGAGCCTAGTGGTTTGTATCCAAAGCTTGTGGGTTGCCTCATGTACCTGATGACATGCACTTGGCCTGACCTCGCGTACCATCTCAGCATCCTGGCGCGCTACGTTGCGGCCGGGAGACACCGCCCTGAGC